TTATTTAAAAAAAATTAAATGTAACCATAATAATAACATCTAATCACATTATACGGTCAACACATTATATGATCAATTATCAGTAATCAAAAGTTAAAAATGATTTTGTAATTTTGAAGTGATTAATGTTGATTATTTAATAATTAAATGAAAGATTAAATACATCAAAAGTAACAGTTTTTGGAGGGAAAATGGTTAAATTGCCACATAAGTAAAATTGAATAGGTTTTATTAAATGCTATTAGCTAGTAATTACATATATATTTTTTTTACATCACATTTATTACCAACTAGTACAACACCCGTGTATTACACGGGTGCTTGCTATTTATTTTAATAAATAATTACATTATTATTATTATAAAGATAATATAATTTATTTATTTTATATATACAACATGGATGTCAAATTGAAACTCATCAAAAGACGATTAATTTGATATTTATAAATGTAAAATCGATAAGAAATACAAAAGTTATCAACTTTGAAAAATACATATACAATTCAATAGTTATAATAGGAAATGATATTAAAATACAATTAATACTTTAAAATGATCATAAATAAATCAACATATTTATGGTAATACGAATCTAATTATTGTGGGATTAAAATTAAATTAAAATTTATCCAAGCCGAACAATGAAGCATGAAATTTTGACACGTAGGATCCCGAAACATGCGAGTTGCCACTTAGACTCAGAGCATTCGAGAATTATATATAGAGAGGATTTCAAAAATATTTTATTATTTTACTAAAAATAATCGTCATTTTTAACTCTTTACTTTCGCTCAAACAATTTCTTACAAAGATAATTTATATTCAATCACATAATATAGTTGGAAAAAATATATTTAATTTTATTAGCAGCAATGTCTATTATGTAATTGGAAAAATTCTATATATACAATCTGAATATACTTGAAAAAAAAATAAGTCATTGTCTGTTTCCATTTTTTTTACCTAAACCGTAGGTGAAAAAAAACATAAAAAATAAAAATATATTTGCTATATTAATTTAGTAAAGTTTTTTTACTAAGTTGTGTGGAGTAAATACGCAAAATCTGATTGGATGCGTTGATGAGTAGAGTACAACTGACTCCTCAGCGTAATCAGTGCCCCATTGACACACACGATTCTCAACTGTGGCTACTCTACGTCTAGGCCTGCCCTACTCCACAGCTAAATAAAAATAAATAAATTGAATTAAATATATTAAAAAAAAAAGTTAAAACACAGCTCAAGGTAAAAAGGAAAAAAAAAAATAATTGATTTGAATTTGATTTTAAATTTAATGAATAAATATGAGTTAAAATATGATGATTAAAGTTAACGCGACGTAAAAGTAGTCAAATAATGATTATGAGTAATTAGTAGTTTAAAATATGTTAGTTGATGAATAATGAATTTTGTTGAAAATTGTTCAGTAATGATTAGTTGATATGAGTTTGCTGCCAAGCGTTTATCTGAGTCAAGTGACTGTCGTTGTTGATGTTCGATCGTCGACTGAAATCCGAGGAAAGAGGAAATTGACGACCATACAAACGAAGAGGTTTTTATCCCTCAACTGAATGCGCCTTACCGGACATAGAAAATAGGAGATGCCTATAATAGTAAAGGAATCGGCTTCTTTCGGTTGCTCTTCGGGAGAATTAGGATTCCATCGTAGTGGTTCTCCCTTGTTGACCAAAGGAGTGCGATTTTCACATAAAGAAATGGTGGACGAACCCAGCTTTAGGCGAAGAGAAATAATCCTCTGAACTGCTTCAGCCTAATCTTCCCTTCGCGAAAGCCAATAAGGTTAAGGATCCATCCCCATCGGGGAAAGAGGGGTTCTCGATCACGTGGTTGGGGTGCATTGGGGTATCGATATGGAGCTACTGCATATGCGACTGGGTATGCAAATCAGTCGTGACAAGGAGATTTAGTAAGTGATAAGTATAACCATAAGTGCCAAAATGTCTAATTGAGCCACTGAGCCTTTACTTTATTAGGATATTAGGATCAAGGAAAGACCTAGACCGAGTGCCCGGTGTTTATAGTATTTTTGGGCATGTGGTAATCGAGTTACCCGACCCGCGTCGTTCTCAAAGGAAGGCTCTTCGGAGCTTCGTTCACTACCTAGTCGTCAAAATCACATAACCGAAAAGGTCCTAAACATGTTACCGCTTGGTGTGGAGATTGAATTAAACTAATGGTAACTAATCATCAAAAGCATATGAAATTAAGCAAGAGAAGAGCTTTACCGGAGTCTCTATCATACAAACAACCCTAAACAACTGAAAGACATCATTCTTGCTAAACCCTAGGCAATCATACACAAGCTTTCTTAACCAAAGTGATTGATGTCTCAAACCTTAACACAAGATAAGCATGCATTATATCCCTACAAGCACTTAGTCAAGCCACACGATGTAAAGTTTCGATCTTTTCCTCCAAATACTAGCAATCTATCAATTTCACTTTGAAAATAATCAAAAGCAAAAAAGAGTAAATCGAAGTAATGGGGCTTTAAAGCTAAGTACCCACTCCCCTATGCACGTGCGAAGAAAACCGGAGTGAAAAACTTTAATCTTTACTCGAAATAATGTCGCCGGAAGTTCGCCAGAAAATTCGAACAATAAAGCTCCAAACAAAAGCATAAAAAAATAAAAGAGAGAAAATTGAGAGGATTTCCCAACTTAAAAGTTGGGAAATGAGGGTTGTCTCCAAAAATACAAAGCAAGATGTCTATATATAGCTACACCACAAACACACACTAAAAACACGCACATTTACTAAGGTACTCTCGAGCTAGCCATGAAATCCGCGAGCTCGAGAGTGTGGTTTGGGCATTGGCAGCACGGGACGCGCGGGCGTGCGGGCGTGCGGGCGTGCGGGCGTGCATGGGCGCGGGCTAAGGCAAGTGACACTCTCGACCTCGCGGAAGTTGCGACGAGCTCGCGGGCTTGGAGTGGAGAGCACTCTCGACCTCACGGAAGTTGCGGCGAGCTCGCGGGCTGGGCGCCATTGCTTGTGTTGGGGCGCGCGCGGGCGCGGGCGTTCTGCGCTCGGGAAAGGGCTCGGTCATGACCCGTTGATGCTCGATTCGCCCTAACTTCTCGCACACATATCCGATTGACTTGAAACTTTGACCCACGCTTCCCAAATCTCTTTCTCCACATCTTGGAGTGCTCAAATTGATATTGCCGCGTAATTAATATATATGCTCGGAATGACTCAGAAATGGCTCGCGTGGCTCGAACATAGTTCGGACGACTCGAAAATGTCTTGGAAATGACTCGTCTTCCCAATATCGAATAATGTGGACCTAAACAACATAAAAAAGACAAGAAAAGTACGCCGAACCACAAAAACACAATACGAGAATAAAAATGCACGAAACACGATAAAATGGACTGATTGACACTAAAACGAACCTAAAAACACTAAACTCAAGCACATAAAACACACGAAAATAAGCACAAAAACACAATAAACACCCGGTTAGCTACATTAGTGACGCGTTGATTTAATATCTCTTCGGTACCAAGCCCCCACTCGACCCGGCGACTTTCCGAACCAAAACCGGTTTCTTTACCCGTTGTCCACGCGTCATTGAAAAGTAATGATTAGTTGATATGGTATTATTTTATATTAATAATATTGAGGAGAGTTAATTTATAGTAGTATTAGATTATAGTTAAATTATGAGTAAAAAATTGGACAAAAAAAAAAAAAAATTAACCTCCCAAACTATGTCGATTTTTAGAGTTTATCTTACGAGCTTTTTTTCTTGATATTTTGCCTCCCATAGTAATCAAAAACTAATAATTTGCCCCCTCGATTGAAAACCTTAATATGGTGTTGATACATGAAATTTGATCAACATGAGCGTTGAATTTCTCTGTATTTTTGGTTATTTTCTGTGAAAAAAGATTGAAGGGAACTTAAAGAAAGAAGCAGAGGAAGAAGAGAGGAGGAAGAAGAGAGCACCGCCTCTGTTTTGTGATCAGGAAGAAAAAGTAGAAAATGGCCCCTCAGATTTATCTCGATGATGTTCATTATCAGGGTATATATATATATATATATATATATATATATATATATATAAGTTTTTGGTAGGCCAGTTATTATCACAAGCGGTGTTATTTTTGGGCCTTAAAAATAAAAAAATAAAATAATTAATTTAATACATATCCACGTGTAATATTTCAGTAGGCGATACAAAAATTGTGTATCAACAGACACAAAAAGTTTTTAACTCAATTAACGATAGATCTTGAATTAATCTCTAAAATAGATTTAAGGCTTTTAAAGCCCACTGCAAGAACAAAATGAGGTATGGTTTGTCGATTTCTGAAAATTGATACCTCTGTAATTGATCAACAAAGATATTAGGAGGACATATGTATAGAAAAGATTTCAATTCAAGTTTTCTGATAATCAAGATATTACGAGAATCAGACTTCACTCGCTGGCAGATATCACATTTAGCCACGAATTCCCAGAACTCGTTCTTCTGCCCCAGCCAATAGAAAGTACTGGATAGTCGTGCCTATAAGCCCTTGAATGACCCCCAATCTTATATAATGGAAGTATTGCACGATCATTCACCGTAATTCATTAACATCCAACACATACACCTTGCTCTTGTAGAGTAGTAGCCCATCGTACACATCATAGTGTTGTGCCGTCTCGTCTTCGGCCTCCATCATTAGACGAATGTTTACAGAAGGCGTCTTGGTCGTTGGCCTCTTGCAATTAACCCCATATAGCCCATGTCGTTCTAGAAATGGCCTTGAGTTTGGCCACGTCAATACAATGTGACAAAGCATCTACCACTAAGTACTGTCTCCATGGTCGGTAATAGATCTCAAAATCAAACCCCATCAGCTTCGATCAAGCTCCATCAACCCCAAGACTTGCATGTTGTTGCATTTCCTCGTCGTCAGGGGTCGCGGGCTACGTCTGTGTCGCGGCGCGGTAGTCTGCTTTCCAGGTCTCGTTGACTGGTGGTCACAGGCGCAACGAGTTGGCAGGCGCTGGCGCGACTGGCTTCGCGGACGCAACGGATGGGGCACCCTCACTATTGGTCAAGTCGCGACGAGTGTCGCCGCATGATGGCTCGCGTTGTGCCGCGTTATGCTTCACAGGCCGATGAACTGTGCCGGAGGCGCGACGATGCGGCTGGTCGCCACGGCATGGGCTTGGAGCCAGGGGCGAAACCATGTACATGGTTGGAGAGGCGCGGGCCCCTCCAAAAAAAAAATTTAAATTAGGGGTAGTGGATTTTGCTGGAACTGGAAGATTTTTCTTTGAGCGCGCATGTTGGATCCTCCCCGGTTTCATGCGGTACATACATGGCCGGAGGGGCGCCACCGGTTTTGTCGCGAAAATTATGTTTAAAGGAAAATTGGGCTCTCCCCGAAACGGGATCATGGTTTCGGGACAAGGAGAACTATAACAACAACAAAATTTAATAATATTTTCATTTTTATTATATTTTGAGTTGGTTAATTAGCCGACTTGCGGTGTACCGACGGGACTAAAAAACCGAGTCGATCATTACCGAAAAATACTTTTATGAAAGTACGGGAAGCAGAGAGTGCGTTGGTGGCATCGATTTATGATTTTGAGGTCTCGACCATTTATTTTGGGTAGCCCGAAGTTGAGAGAAAAATGGCAGTGGCGGTGATTTTATTGTCATTTTCATGTCTAGACTTCGGGTAACCGTCGGCCCTTGTTAGACATGCTGAAAATTAGTGGGAGTGCTTTCTTGAAAGCACGAGAACAGTAGAAGTCGTTCGTAAAATTTATTTCATGTTTCGAAGTTTCGAGCATTTATTTTGAGAAGCTCGAAGTCGAGTGCGCATAATAGAAGAATAAAAAGCCGTTTTGCGGGGTTCCGTAAGGTTGCGTGTGACCTCGGTTTAACGAGAATCGAGTTGGAGCATGTAGACAATTCAAGCACGATTCCACACGGACAAAAATTTCGCATTTTTCGGAGTTCCGAGCATTTATTATGGGAGTTTGAATTTCTGCGTTAAATAGTATCAAAAGGAGCAAATTTGTCGAGGACGAGTTCGATCGTTCGAGGCTTCATTTTCTCAATTTTTTCATCTTTTCGTCTATTCGAAAGGAGGTATAATTCTTGATTATTATTATAATTGAGTCCGAGATTTTTATTAGTATAAATTCGAGTATTTTTCAAGTTAAAACAATTCAGTTTAAGTATACCAGTTTAATTCCGGACTTAGTTTGATTTTTAGAAAAATCTCTAGAGTATTCCTTTATATCCTGCGAAAATTTTTGAGAGCGTCCACAAAAGTCCTTTGAGCGCCCTTCCGATGACGGAGTGGGGGTGGTGCGCCGCGGGATGGCAGGAGTGGGGGTGATGCGCCGCGGCAAATTGGGCCCTTCCCGAGATGACCGGCTGGTTTCGCCACTGCTTGGAGCGCTTGTAGCTGCGAGATGACCTGTTGCACGTCGATTCGTCTTTGTGCGGTTGTGCCCGACTAGTTGTTACTGTTGGGCTCAGATGCGCAATGCGGAAGATGTAAATTAAAATACTAACGTGAAATGGTGAACAATAATCCCAATCCCAGCAACTCAAGAATGACAAAAGAAAAACTCTTGCAATAACACCGAAATAATTCTTTTCTGATGTGGAAGTTCAGATTAAACTGCGACCACAGAGCATACTAAGAATATCCCAAATAAATAAAATATGCAAGAAATAAGACACCAAGATTTAACGTGGAAAACCCTCCAAATAGAGGAAAAAACCACGAGACAACTTCCGAATAATTCCACTATATTTTCAAGATAATTACAATATCTTTTCACACTTTCTTGCACAAGAAATGTAAAATATAGTGACCCAGTGAGAACCCCACTCTCAAACAAAGAGTAATAGAGTTGATACCCAACCCGGTGTATTTTTCCACACACTCACAGGATTTACTCAAACACTCTATTTTTATCTCACTGAAAAATAACACTCCAGAAAATTTCTTTTCTGCTCTTTTTCTTTCTCGCTTCTTGGTGCATCCTTCAACACTGCAAATGCACCTATTTATAGCAGAGAAAGATTCTCTAATTTGTTAAACAAATTACACCAAATTGTATAAAATATTTTTAGTCCACTTTCGGTGTTTGTCCATAGCCTCTGACAACTAATTTTTGTTGAACCATCACATGGGATGATTTGGCTGGATCTACAATTCTCCCCCTCCAGCCAAAGGGTAATATTCTGCAATTCTTCACATGCATTCCATGCCGATCAATTCGGCACAAAGCTGAAGCTTTCCTCATGTTACAACTTTCGTCATCATGTCAGCAGGGTTTTCATCAGTGTGAATCTTTTCCAACTTGAACAGTTGTTCTTCCACTGCTTGACGTAGCCAATGATATCTGACATCAATGTGCTTCGTGCGAGAGTGGTACATCGCATTCTTACTCAAATCCAATGCGCTCTGACTATCACAATGGATATCATACCTTTCCTGCTTCATTCCCAATTGTTGAAGAAACCTCTTCAACCAAAGCATTTGTTTTCCTGCTTCTGTCATAGCAATATACTCTGCTTCAGTAGTTGACAAGGCAACAGATTTCTGCAATTTAGATTGCCAAGATACAGCTCCCCCTGCAAATGTAAACACAAACCCTGAAGTAGATTTTCTACTATCCAGGTCACCTGCCATATCCGCATCTGTATAACCTTCAAGAACTGGGTTTCCTTTTCCGAAGCTCAAGGACTTATTTGTACTGCCTTTTAGGTACCTCAAAATCCACTTCACAGCTTCCCAATGATCCTTCCCATGATTGGAAAGATACCTGCTAACAACTCCAACCGCGTGAGCGATATCTGGTCTGGTACAGACCATGGCATACATCAAACTCCCGACTGCTGAGGAGTATGGAACACCTGCCATAGCTTCTTTTTCTTCTTGACTAGTAGGACAACTTCGTTTATTGAGTTTGAAGTGATTGGCCAACGACGTATTAACTGGCTTAGCAGCTTTCATGTTAAATCTCTCCAGAATTCGATTCACATACCTTTCTTGCGATAACCATAACATCTTGGATTTTCGGTCTCGCATGATCTGCATGCCCAGAATTTGTTTCGCAGGGCCCAAGTCCTTCATCTCAAAGGACTTTGCTAATTCCTTCTTCAGATCACCAATCAACTTTATATCTTGTCCCACTATCAACATATCATCTGCATATAACAAAAGGATAATAAGTTTATCACCTGGAAATTTCTTAACGAACACACAATGATCTGCATCAGTCTTGGTATATCCATGGCTCGCCATAAACGAGTCAAATTTCTTATACCACTGTCTTGGAGCTTGTTTCAATCCATACAAGCTCTTCTTCAATCTGCAAACCATATGCACCTTTCCGGTCTTCTCAAATCCTTCTGGTTGCTCCATGTAGATTTCTTCATCTAGGTCTCCATGAAGAAATGCAGTCTTCACATCTAGTTGTTCAAGCCCCAGATCCAAGCTAGCCACCAATCCGAGTACTACTCGAGTAGAGCTCATCTTTACAACCGGAGAGAATATCTCATCAAAGTCTATTCCTCGCTTTTGTCCAAATCCTTTCACGACTAAGCGAGCCTTGTATTTCAACAGCTTGTCACCATCTTTCTTAAGCTTGAACACCCATTTGTTTTTCAAGGCTTTTCTGCCTTCCGGAAGCTTAACAAGCTCATAAGTTTCGTTTTTCACCAGTGAATCCATTTCTTCTTGCATGGCTTTCATCCACTGGGATTTATCCTTATGAGTCTGAACTTCTTCAAAGCTTTCTGGCTCCCCTTCTTCAGTGATGGTAATATACGTGGAACTAGGGTATCTCGTAGACGGTTGGATCGCTCGATTTGATCTCCTGAGCTGAGGCGGAGCTTCGAGGTCTTCCTGCTCAACACCTTCACCATCACCATCTTCTATTGCTGGCTCATCATCAACCCTGAGTTCTCCATCACACTCTCCCCCTGCTGTGGCATCTCCAGGAGGTTTGACAGGTGAAAGATCCACCTTTCCACTTGGTTCTCTGATTTCTGGTGAAGCAGAATCGGACATAGTTTCTTGCTCATGGAACACTACATCTCTGCTTCTGATAATTTTTCGATTTTCTGGATCCCATAACCTGTAGACAAATTGCTCATCTCCATAGCCCAAAAATATACAAGGAATGGCTTTATCGTCAAGTTTTCGTCTCTGTTCCTTGCTTACGTGAGCAAAAGCTTTGCATCCAAACACCTTTAGATGAGAGTATTTAACATCATGTCCGGACCATACTCTCTCGGGGATATCAAAGCCCAAAGGAACAGATGAAGATCGGTTGATCAGGTAGCACGCCGTTAGAACAGCTTCACCCCAGAATGGCTTAGGTAGTTTAGCCATTCTTAACATACACCTCACTTTGTCCATAATGGTTCTGTTGATTCTTTCAGCCACACCATTATGCTGTGGGGTTCCAGGTACAGTCTTCTCATGCCTGATGCCATGCTCGGCACAATAATTCTTGAATTCATGGGAAGTATACTCCCCCCCATTATCTGAGCGAAGACACTTCAAAGGTTTACCAGCCTGTCTCTCCACCATAGCATGAAACCTTTTGAAATACTGAAACACTTCACCCTTCGTTCTCAAGAAATACACCCACAATTTTCGTGAGGCATCATCAGTAAATGTCACGAAATATCTGCTACCACCGAGACTCTCCACTTCCATGGGTCCACATACATAAGAATACACCATCTCCAACACATTCTCTTTCAGCTTCGAGGTTTTGCTGAAAGACACTCTATGATGCTTCCCAAAGACACAATAATCACAAGGATTCAATTTTGAATCTTTGGCAAATGGGATGAGGGACTTTCTTGCCAAAATCTGTAATCCTTTTTCACCAATGTGAGCCAGTCTTTTGTGCCACAAATTTGGCGAAGCATCATCCTCGACTGCATTCAATCCACCCTTGATCAGCTTCACTTGAGTTCTGTACAGTGTCGATCTCACTGTACCTTTAGCAGCTAACAACGATCCTTTGGTAAGCCTCCACGTGCCGCTACCAAAATTGTTCGTATAGCCTGCTAGATCCAGTGCGTGCACAGAGATTAGATTCAGACGTAAGTCAGGTACATGTCGCACATCCTTCAGTGTTATTGTGCACCCAATATCAGTTTGAATGCACACATCACCAACTCCCACAATATTTGCAACGCTGTTGTTGCCCATCTTTACTCTACCAAAGTCTCTTCTTTGTATAGAGAAAAGAATTCCTTGTGAGAGGTTGCATGGTATGATGCTGCTGAGTCAATGACCCATTCAACACATGAATCAGCAATGATATAGCCATACTGTCGTGCATCGGTTCAGTAACTGCGGCATTGCCGCGATTGGCTCATAACGGTTCATATCATCACGGTTTGAGATTACCGAGTCGACTTCAGCAAAGTCGACTCCATTAGTAAGGTTCCATGATACTCAGTCAAGAAGCCCGGCTCTCGACCGAGTCAATGTACACCTGTCGACTAGAGTAAGTCGACTTCTGGTAAGATAACGGTCAGACGTATTAGGGTCTACTAACAGTTGAGTGCGACCCAGTCGACTCGACGTAATGTCTCAGGTCGACTGAGGAAGTTGTAGCTCGTGGTGCCCGATGGCTTTGACACACCTCAGCATATTGAAGAAGAATTAAGGATAAGAAGGAAGCTCAGGAAGGATCTAGATGCTGACTAGGAAGTAGGCGGAATATGAACCGACCGGGGTATTCTGGACATTTCCATTAAGTCGGCCGGGGCATTTTGGGGACTTCAGGTATATATTGTACTCCTATATAAAGGACTGAGGTAATCCCAAAACCCGAACTCCCATTCATTCCATATCCTTTTCATTATTGCTGCTGCTCTGATAGCAGCCATCATCACCTCTCTCAGATACTGACTTGAGCGTCGGAGGCTCTACGCCGGAAACCCCTCCGGCGTTGAGTTCTTGCAGGTGTTCTTGCGGCTCACAACAACGGTTCGATCGCCATCACATCAGATCTAAGCTCATCCGTACCGGTTCGTCCCAGATCCGGACGTTTTCTCATTAGACCGTTCCAGATCTGAGAAGAAACCCATCAAGCAACATGACACTCTTCTTCTTCAACAGAGAGCAACACCACTTCCCCATTGATCACAGGGGTTGCGGTATTTTCATCGTTCTCTGCCTTGTTGTTTCTCCAACCTCTGTTCTTCCAGGCTTTGCAGTTTCTTTTGATATGCTCTTCTTCACCGCAGTGATAACACTTGAACTTTCTCCTGGGTTGAGATTGTGATCTATCTCTGGATTTGTTATTCCGGCCTCTGCTTTTACTTCTCCCCCTGGTTTCTGTGACCAGGGCTTGGGAACTGCTTGCCCCAGAGTCTTTTCTTCTTGTTTCTTCATTAAACATACTGTCTTTGACTTGGGTCAAAGTCAGTTTTCCTTCAGGAGCAGAGTTGCTCAACGAGACCACCAGAGTCTCCCAGCTATCCGGTAAAGATCTCAAAAGTAACAGCGCCTGCAGCTCTTCATCAAGTTTCATGTCCATGGTAACAAGTTGGTTTACCATGTCTTGAAACTCATTCAAGTGTTCAGCAACTGATCTTCCATCCCGATATTTTAAATTTACAAGCTTTCTAATGACGAAAGCTTTATTCTGTGCAGTCTTCCTCTGGTACATCTGTTCAATTTTGTTCCACAGAGTATGGGCTTTCGACTCTGTGGCAACATGGTGGAATATGCTGATATCCACCCACTGTCGGATTAAACTGACAGCCTTACTGTGTAACTTTTTCCAATCGTCATCCTTCACATCATCTGGCTTGTTATCTCCCTTTTCTACAGGATCGTACAGATCTTTGTAGAAAAGTATGTCCTCCATTTTTGGCTTCCAAATGGAGTAATTTGTTGTTGTGAGCTTCACCATGGTACCCACGTTCTCCTCCATTTAATTTACACTGGTCGATACAGAGCCCAACTTGAGCTCTGATACCACTTGTTGGGCTCAGATGCGCAATGCGGAAGATGTAAATTAAAATACTAACGTGAAATGGTGAACAATAATCCCAATCCCAGCAACTCAAGAATGACAAAAGAAAAACTCTTGCAATAACACCGGAATAATTCTTTTCTGATGTGGAAGTTCAGATTAAACTGCGACCACAGAGCATACTAAGAATATCCCAAATAAATAAAATATGCAAGAAATAAGACACCAAGATTTAACGTGGAAAACCCTCCAAATAGAGGAAAAAACCACGAGACAACTTCCGAATAATTCCACTATATTTTCAAGATAATTACAATATCTTTTCACACTCCCTTGCACAAGAAATGTAAAATATAGTGACCCAGTGAGAACCCCACTCTCAAACAAAGAGTAATAGAGTTGATACCCAACCCGGTGTATTTTTCCACACACTCACAGGATTTACTCAAACACTCTATTTTTATCTCACTGAAAAATAACACTCCAGAAAATTTCTTTTCTGCTCTTTTTCTTTCTCGCTTCTTGGTGCATCCTTCAACACTGCAAATGCACCTATTTATAGCAGAGAAAGATTCTCTAATTTGTTAAACAAATTACACCAAATTGTATAAAATATTTTTAGTCCACTTTCGGTGTTTGTCCATAGCCTCTGACAACTAATTTTTGTTGAACCATCACATGGGATGATTTGGCTGGATCTACAGTTACGAGCACGCCAAGCTCTATTATACGCATTCTTGAGGACTCGCCCTTCGTCCGCATCATATACACAGAACATTCGTTGTCTACTTTTTTGAATTCAAATTGCCTAACGTATCATAGATAGAGATTTGATTCTAAAGTGCTATAAGATTTCTACAATAGTAAGCAATAAACAAGCATATCCGTCTTGAGGAAAATAATTATTCTTACTTCAACTGACAATAACCAAGTTTTACGAGGTTTTAAGTGTAAATTCCATTTCCAGTTTCGCTATTTTGTTTATAATAAACACGAACACTTTAGTTCACAAATTTCCCACGCATTTTTTTTTTTGTTTTTTTTTTTTTTTCCAAACGATCGAGAATTGTATCACCACCAACCGAACCAAGAACAATGTACACCTCCCCTCGGGATTACAAAGGCAACCAAGACGACTAGAAAACACAACATACAAACAAAGCTCCCAAAAAGATTACAACATTCCAAATGAAGGACAAACAACACTTGGAGAAAATGAGACTAGCTAACAACAATTCTATTTGATTCTATTTTATAGCATCGTTTTGATCCGACTTTACGCAATTCTATTTCATTGTGCCCATTTTGTGCAAGCTGTATGGATATTCTCCATAAATAACAAAAGAATCATATTCCCAGCCTTTTTTAATTTATTTGATTCTAAATAAGGAAATCCGTAAATGTGGACATTTCGATTTATAATTGACGCAACCCCTTATATATATATATGCTTTTGTTTTTTCCTTCTCACCCATCTTTGCAAAAACAACACAGAAATATGAAGTAATATTTAATAACAGTAGAAATAAATACTATGACTATGTTTGGTAAACCAATATGCTAGCTTATAGCTTAGTTGATTAGCTTATAAGCTCCCTGTATTTAAATAAGCTCTGTTTGGTAGGACGAGCTTATTTAAAAAACTCGAGCTTATTTGATAAGCTTGTTCAGATAGTTTTTCAAATAAGCTAGTTGAATTTTTTTTTTATTTCAGCTAGCTTATCAGCTAATTTTATCAAACACTTTTATCATATAATCTAGTTTTTCAGCTATAAGTCATAAGCTACAAACTATAAGCTCGAAAATTACTTATCAGCTAGTTTTACCAAACATAGCCTAATTGTCATTGTGTTGTTAACTTGTTATTTTGACTGCTTCAGATTAATAATTCTAAGAAATTAGAGACGAATTTCAATTTAGAAAAAAAAAACGTGGAAGAAGAAATTAGAGATAATATTTAAATTTGTGTATAAAAAAATTACCAGTTATTGAAAATATTCAAACCAGATTTTTAAAAATTCATATTGGAATTCACGATATCATAAAAAATCTCATTTAAATTAATAAATTATAAAGAAAATTTAAAAAACTTATAATATACACATATTATAAGTTATAAGAAAAAATAAAATAATATTGATGTAACTAAAAATTAATAATTTTTAACTTCAAAATAATATATATTGCAGTTTTTTCAATTAAGAGAGAGAGAGAGAGATAGAGAAAGAAGAGAGAGAGAGAGAGATTATGTGAATATTATGTATTTACGACGTTGAGATATGTTAAATTTCCATTATCTTTAATTATAAACAAAAACTCTAAAATAACAATTATTTTAGAACAAGTAAAATAAATATATAAATCATATATTAAATTATTATATATCATAAACTAAAAGACAAAATAATATTAATATACAAAATTATTTTTATACTAATCAACGTTTTGATTTAATACATACAGTCTATAGTTATGTACTTATAAGCAATAGAGCAGCTAAGGAGAGATTTTTTCTGTTTGAAGGTGCAAATCTTTTTCTTATTTTTAACTTTTTATCATGGTTATGAAAATTGGACCGAACCGGCAGGTTCAATCGGTTGGACCGAGAACCGGCCTTCACTCCGATCCGGTTTAAGCCATCAAACCGCTAAGCTATAGAACTAGTCAAGGAACCATTCGAACCGGTCCAAAACTAGTTGAATCGGTGAACATTGAC